TGACATGATACTCATGGACTGTACACAGTGGTGTCATAAGCTATGGGTATATGACATGATACTCACATAGCACGGGACATTACTATTGGAAAGGTATCACATCTCTTTGCTATAAGTGTTATCGACTGACAAAGTCAAATAATATTTTATTTGGCTCCTGTGTGTGTGCACTGTGTAGATGTTTCAAAATCAGTTTATCAAAGTGATGAAATGATTGCCTATATCTATTTTACATTCAACTTAGTGAGGTTGGTTGCAGGTATTCATATACATATATGAGTATAAAAATTTCAGTAAAAATAGGCCAGACCATGCCAAAGGTTTAGAATAGATTTGATACAAGAATGATATGTTCACTTTTAAACTATTGGAATATGTAAACATCATAATTGGGTGTGATCCGGATCCATGCCAGTGACCTGTGGTTGGCCTGAGGTTGACCTGTGGTGTGGTCATATCTGGACCAAAAACATGCTGTAAACAAGGGTGTTTGATTACGGTCAATAAGATGACCAGTCTAAGGATTTTACGCAAAGGTCATTGGCCATCAAGAGGGAGAATTTGAGCTATATATATAGTATCATAACTCACATAGATCCATCATATTTTGTTCAAGGATATTCCATGGACAGGGGTTCATCAATGGTATTCAACTGTCATCATTTCTTATTCAATGATATTCAACTGACAGGCATTCATCAGGTTTTCAGGCTATCTGTATATTCAACCTCCTGGGGTACAGCATGAGTTGTTCATGATTTCAGGGTTTCAATATGTGTAGTAAAGAATGTTCAACCTTTGCACTCGGGTCAGTCCTGTCGTGTTTATGGACTATGAACATGCAATTGATCTGTGATGTTTCAACCAAAATTACAAATATGTTGAGGATCAAGTTGCCATGCAATGATTCTGGTGATTAGGTTTGCTGATGTAAGCGAATCAACACTCTAAGTGATGGGAATAAAATAGTGAATGATAACCTCGTGGAAGGCCTGCTTGGGAGTTGATAGATATGCAATTATGGTAGAAACATGTATGTAATAATAAATTGTGTGAGGTAATTTTATGTGTAGAGACTTGGGTTGAATACTTAATGGTTTAGGCATATAAAGTGATTGATGAATGTCTGCTGTTACGCAGATGTTTCAGGCTGTGACAGAAACAGATAACGTTTCCCGAATATGACAATTATGTATATTAACATGCTGGCAAAGTCATATCAAGTCAAACTTTTAATATAGTACACATTAGTAATGATTTGGCAGTGTTCTTTTACATATATATTACCTGATAGATATTCTGTTCTGCTCTGGAATATATGATGTATACTCTCATTGTGTGCAATGTGTACAGGTAACTCTATGGTTTTACCAGCTGCAATCAAGACATAATACATGGATATTCCTTGTCATTAGTCAGTGCTCAAGGTATATAAATTTGTATTTTGAATTCTGAATCTTTGATGTATTTCCTTCACTTCACCTGCATATCATTTTCTACGTTTAAATAAGTATACTTTTGCTTGATTCAATCACAAATTGAACTCCAAGATGAAGTTAGGTTTTGCTTTTCACTGCTGACAAAGATGTTTTGGTGATGTTTTAACAAATGTGTTAGTGATTATAAACTGATGTACATTATTACTCTTTGTTTACTTTCAGAGTAGGGTGGTGTGAGCTATGCCGGTCCTAGATATGGACACCCTTCTTCGACTGCGGCGGGACATGTCAGCCACAGTAGCGAAGGAGGTGGTCACGACAGTGGCCAGTGCCCTCAGTGATGTCACAGGGGGAGGCAACGATGTTACATCACCCAACGGAAATGGCACCGACTTCGCTACCACACCAGCCACCGGCTTCAACAAATTCAAAGACATGGTGTGGGATAAAATAGAATCATGTAAGTTGTGGCTTTGTCAGGATTGATCTTCAGTAGGAAGATCTGGGTCAAAAGTGTGAGTGTCCTATGAACCTCTCAAAGAATGAAAAATAGCGTTGATAAAGTTGCTGTAATCTAGAGTCTTTCAGAGTCTTTGATTAACTCTAAAAGACACTGATCAATGAGAATACACCATATTTTTCAAGAAATGTTAAAATAATCTAGGGACGATGCATATATCTTAATCAAATCATGTTTTCTTTCAGAAATTTACAATGGTTTCATTAATAATAACAAAATGGTGAATTAAACTTGTGAATGATATTGCAAAGCATCTTGTTTAAGTTGTACAATGCTATGACCAGAATGAAGCACTTGTGAACAGGCTTGTCAAGTTCTTTGCTCATATATGAAATAGATAAAATATTTCTATGAACATGATCACACATTGCAGTTGTTCATTATAAGCTACTGCGAGTTGTGCCAATGTGATGGTATATTTTGTATTACAGTGGGACTTCCAATCTGGGCATTGGTCCTCATTGCTATCGGAGCTGGGCTCTTCCTACTCTGCTGTCTCTACTGTATATGTAAACGATGTATATGTCGGAAGAGGAAAAAGAAAGATCAAAAGAAGGGGCTCAAAGGAGCGGTCGACCTGAAGAGTGTGGCATTGCTGGGAAATGCTATCAAAGAAAAAGTATGTACAATGAGACACTGGACGTGTTACATCTCGGCTTGTTTCAATTTCCACCTACTGAACTGAAGTGTACATTATCAACATTATCCACAGGATCAAGTTATTGTAGATATGTCAGCCGTTCTGTTAATGTGGAAATTCTCGCAGGTAGAAATAAATGTTCACATTGTGATTCTGTAAACTGATGAGGATGATGTCACAATGTTTGCATTGGGCAATAGATCTGAAATCTATATGTTCTATATATGTATAATTTATATAATCTATAAATAATATTGGCGTTTGGATATTATCGTGCTAATTCACTCAACGCAAATACACAAGCACTTCCACAACAAGAACATTTCTACTTTTACAATATGCAAACTAATGATAAATAGCTTTTATCACATACCTGTTGAATCTTGTTATAGTAATACAAGCAA